TCAATATTTTATTCAGTACTTATTAATATAAAACAATATTTAAATATTTACATTTGTGAGAAATATGACATATATAAAAGTACAAGCTACCTATGATAACGTAAAAGTTAGACTACTTAGATTTAAATTGTAGTAGCAATTAGGTAGATGATATATTTTTCTATTTAATACATGGTATGTGTAGATACAAAAGGATAAAATAGAAACATAATCTAAAAATAGTATCAAAGAGTGCTTATGATGGGATGTGTGATTCCTTCTCTTAGTTCATTTTCTCTTTGATTATCACATGCTAAAGAGCTTGATATCGTTTTATTCTGGTATARCGAGTGAATAAAAATATATCAGAGTTGATAAAATGAATGTAATAAGTGTAATAAAGATAAATACTTCATTTTGTCTGCCTATGCATTACCAGCTGCTCATGTTATCCATAAATTTTATATTTTTATACGTGTAATTGTATTGTATAAAATAAGAAAAGAAAAAAATCTTTAATAGTTTTGTCTGAGACTGGAAGAACTTGCAGACAATATTTGCTAAAAGTTCATATTGTCGTGACCCGTTGCTGATTGATTTCACATCGTGAAATTCAATACCAATATACCTGTATAAATGTAGCGCATGTCTTAAAAAAAGAAAAGAAAAAATGAGTGGAAAATGATTATTGAAATTTGCACACCACCCCTATTAGATTTAGCACTATATTCACTGCTACGCGCTGATCGGGACAACAGTCGCAACAGGGAAATAAGGCAATACACTGTCGCCAATCAGAGAATCTAAAGGTAACGACCAATTTAATTGATTGAAGGAAGTGACTTGACAACCAAACATTATCGCCGATTTTTGCCAAATTTATCAAATGAAATGATACTTAACGAAACTCGCTTGCACATATCATTCGTGACTCCATCGTACCCACTTCTGGTGGACCCGCATCTCGTATATCCCGCATATCTTTTGAATAGCATTTGCGAACTTCTTCAGCTGTAACTTTTGTCTATGTACTCTTTATTAGTACTTCGAGTACTAACCAAGTGCTTACACAGGCCCGTAGCTAGGATTTTTGTTGGGGGGTTGCTAATTTACRAAAAGTGGACCAACCATATACTTTATTTTTTAAAAGTCCCATAGGACGCATAGGTATAGATAAATTATTAAATAAAATTGATTTTTTTTACTTAGTTTTACGTGAAAATATCATACCAGCCAAAATCTCACTTGCTTAAAAAGNTAAAATTGATTTTTTTTACTTAGTTTTACGTGAAAATATCATACCAGCCAAAATCTCACTTGCTTAAAAAGCGGACCGTTAGGGGGGGGGGGGGGGGGGGGGGGGGGGGGGGGGGTGGGGGGGACGGGCGAACGCACCCCCTGCACCCCCCCTAGTTACGGCCCTGTTACATAACTCAACGTCTGATCTACCACAGGCAACCCAATGATCACGTGATATCTCATACTTCCTCCCCCTCCCCTAAAGTATCCCAACAATACTCTATCACAAAGTAAAATGTATCTGTTCGTGCTTCTAAGGAGCGAAGCCATAACGTTCAGGTGGCCTTTGGTTGACCTAACACTGGGTTTACCGCTTGCGACTGCAGGCGACTGCTTTGGAGGTTCGTCGGTCGTTGCAACTTCACTTGGCAGGACATTGGATCCTACAGCACTGTCTAACAATGTTGAAGATTTCTGGACAAAGGGTGAAGTGGTAACTTCCTCTGTTATTTCTTCGTCACTACAGCCAGTGGTACCGGCAATAGCATGTACCTCATTCTTTTTATCGCTTTTACCTGACAAACATTACTTTATACTTTGCCTCTTTTTGCACACTTATGACACATTTCATATTTAAATCTGCAATAATTTGGTCTTTGGCAGATAAGTTGAATGAACACCCACACACAAAAAACGCTGACCGCTTGGTTAGGGGAACTTTGGTAGTTGTTTAATTTTGTCTTTACAGCCAAATTAGCAAAATTTGCAGCAAATGTACGTTGCTGACATGGCACCCGACACTGCCTGCACTCTCTTTAAAACAATGACGATGACTGCGAGGGCGGTTCACATTGGCGGTTTTGTTGCAGGAATGGTGCTAGTGCCCCTTGATGTATAAACACCAGTTACATCTTCTATATATGAGCCTGCACAAGGGAAGTACGTCTAACGCAGAGAAGATACGAGGAATAGTAAACGAGATGATGTGCCCAGAGGAAGAACAGGTACCTTACATACTTGGAGCCATTTTGAACGAAGTGATGTGCGGTGTAAATTGAGACGATGGTAACTATACGTACGAATACTAACCCAGCAATGACAACAATAAGTGCAAGACCTGATGAAGATCTAGAAGTTTGCCGTTAGTTTCCCTCRGTGGGGCTGAGCCAGAATGGAAGGCAAAAAAACCCTCTGCAAGCAGGGTAAGAAGTTATAAATATGAACAATTTAAATTTAATAATGGCAACTCAACATAGAGCAAACTAAATCGATATTGAAATGATCGATAAACATTTAGTTATGCATCCTCATTATTACTGGGTTGCCATGTAAAATGCCGTAGGTTTTTCTACTGGGTTGCCCGTCTTGCGAAAAGTACATTGTTGCGCAAGAATACCCATAAATGAATTTGAATGACGTGTTCATAGATTAATGGCTCATACGCTGGCTTATCAGCTGAGGCTGTAAATCCGGGTTTTGGAAGTAATATAATTGAGCRATAAAGGAAGATTGCTAGGATAGTGATTCAGATATTTATTAGTATTAATGCAGACGGGATCACCATTTAAAGTGGTCATCCGATCCACTTGCAAGTCTAACCATTTGCAAATGTAATTACAAAGACAGCACTTTCTCCTCAGTCATTTTAAGGCTCTGAGTATTGGTCTGGCCGGGACTCGAACAATGACATCTCGCACGAAATTCCGATACTCAACCAAAAATTAGCCAACCGGTTACCAGCATTAATTCGCCATACATTGTTCCAATAATTCAATTTCAAATAGGTTTCTAACGCCATTTAGGTCTTTTATAGCGACCCCTTGCAATGAGTCACGAGAAGAATTGTCTAGGGCCATAAAACAATGGATTTTGTTGCACAAGAAAAGACGGCCTATTGTTTTGTCCCCCAGAACAATTCCTCTAGGAAATCAATGCAAGGGATCATATACTCCTCACAGCACTTTGGAATGCAGCTCAATCCGAGGGACAAAACAAAACTGACAAAAGGTTCCCGTTCTCAAGGGATTGGATTTTTTTTGCCCCCCCCCCCCCCCAGATGCTTTGACGTAGTGTCCCGATGTCTTTTATTCAATTATGAAAGAAAACACAACTCCGCCACTTTTATTCGCGTGCCACACTTTATTCACAAATATTCAGTATTAACATTCTTTGGTAAGCAAAGGTGGATTGAACTCCCAAACGTTTTGATAACAAAAATTACGATTTAATTCATTTATCATTATACTAATGATACACAGACATAGCCAAAACTCCAGTGATTTCAATCTGGCTTCAAACAAACAGTTTTATAGCTGTTTTATAGTTTTATAGTTTCATTAGCAGCATGTTGACGACATGTATTGCACTAACAGCCGTCTGTTTTACTCGTCTAGTAATGAAAATTATAGTCGAGGTTCATCTGCGATAGCTATATGGACAGTCCCTGGCCAAATGTCCTCTTAAACCTAACGAAATCACAAGAACGAAATATGTTAGTTTCTTCCCTTCTGCTTAATCTAGAGGTAAAGACGGTCTCTAACACAGCGTAAATCTGTCGTTAAAGAACCACTTTAGTAATCAATCAAGGCATGCATAAGTCGTTATCGGAAATCGAGACTTGGATAAATATGCGTAACAGGGACGGCGGAACCGGGGGGGGGCTAAGGGGCTTTAGCCCCCCCTACTTTTTGTGAAATTTTAATACATTTTCACTA